TAGGCTTATTACTTCCATGTTTCCATTTATAACCTTGTAAATTTTGGTCATCACTTTTAAGAGGAAATTGAGTAACATGAGATCTTGCTTATAAACCCAGTAATTAAATAATTTCATCATTTCCTGTAATCATTTTATCTTTAATATATTTCTTTTGATTATTTGATATAAACAAATAAAACCTTTGTAAGTATTTATAATTAAATGATCTGTATTAATAAGTCAATACATTTAATGCTTTCTTAGATGTTCAAAACCTGTATACACGTAGCTTCTACCTTAAGGCACATATCTAAGCCAATTATTCAATTGCACATTCTAATTTGGAATTTCTTTGATGTCATTTTATTAGGCTAAATGATCTTAAGTTTCACAATAACATAAATTATGTATATAAAAAACCCAGAACCCTTCTAATATCTATTACTATGATTTTAATTCTTTGGAGATTTTTCTTCTTAATTCTAAATCTTCAGAGACTAAAAGATGCATACTTACTGATTCATCCCAGTAAACTTAAGTTGCCCACTCTATAAACCAGATAATTATCATCCAGTTCACTGATGTTACTAAATTCGAGACTTGGGCCAGTTGTGAGACCTACAGTTACAGACATCCTGAATTCTTCTTACCATCCCCAGGCAGTTTACTTATAATCACTATTTTATGAGTTTCAAAATTTAAAAGGGAAAGCTGGCATTATCTCACTTATGTTCACTCACTAATGCTTGCAATATTTATTATACAGGTTGATCGCTGGTTTAAATTTGTCCTTTCTTTGATGCTTAAGAAATGTACAAGTGTTTTGCATCTAAAGTCTTTTGAAGTAGATAAAGTCCTAAGATTGGTGATGTATTTTTCATCTAATATGAGATTTTCAGGGGCTCTTATACTCATTACTATTTCAGGAGCATTCAAAGTGCTTTATGATTACAGTTTGGATGTCCTATGCTGTGCCTGACTTGTGATCACAACTCATGAAATCATTCTGCTAATTGTCATCAACCTTAAGAAGTAAAGTGGAATAGCCTATTACTTAAAGACATGAGCAAGATAGCCCTGAGTTTGATTCCAGATTTTTCCAATTACTATGTGATCTTGGGCTAATTTCTTAACCACTATGGGCTTAACTTTTCTCATTTGCAAAATGCGGATAAGTGCATCTATTTTTAAGGTTGATGTGAAGGGTAAATTCCACACTAAAAGTAATGATGGCCTAGGACATAGTACAAAGTAAGTAGTCAATAAATAATAACTACCAGTAGTCTTAGCATCAGTTACTTAGATCTATTATAAAACTTTGACATCAAGGAGAGGTAATAGAAAAAGTTTTGTTAAATACTCCAGAATTGAAATCCTAG